ATATATATATATATATATATATATATATATATATATATATATATATATATATATATATATATATATATATATATATTCCATATAAGCAGACATGCAAAACCCTTGCAGAAAAATTCTACTAGTGATAAAAGGCAAATTAGCAGAGTAAGGATAAACAGCAAAGACATCATAATCATGAGTCTTTTTGGGATTGGAACAAGGTAATCACTAATTTATAAGTGATTATTTGATATAAGTGATTAATTGATGCTCTGTTCTTGTTATGCTGTAATCAAGTTTCTTATTATTTTTTGTTTCAATGGAGCACGATTCTTGTTTCGGAATTCATCGATGCATCAACTTTTCGTGATTTTTCCATGATTTCAGAAACAGCAAAACTTTTCGTCCGAAGAAGAGTTCTCCATCCGGAAACAAGGTAGCCATTTTAATCAGATTGTTTGAATTTTTTATCCGATTTTGAAAAATCGTATTTAAGCCCCATTTGATTCGTTATCCAGTCTAATAACTCGATTTATTTTTACGAACATTTTTTTTATATTCCAATCAAGCTTGGACCGAGATTCATATCTTATCGAACGAAAACATGGTTTGTTTTTCGACACTAATGATACCTAATCTTGTGCCAACTTCGCTCGAAAGATAGATACAAAATCGTTCGATCTCTTGATGTATATTATCTTTTCTTAATTTATTAAATCAAATTAGGAAATCATTTTTGTAAAACGGTGCAGGGATTACAACTGAAGAAGCACATCGACGCCACACTAGGAAGCGGCAACTTAAGAGAAGCCGTAAGGCTTCCCCCCGGAGAGGATCTCAACGAGTGGTTGGCTGTGAACAGTAAGTTACTCGTCTCATTCATTTTTACTTTCCGTATTTTTTCTCGTATTTAATTAATTACATTCGTTATGTTATACTGTATGCAGCTGTTGATTTTTTCAACCAAGTAAACATTCTCTACGGCACCCTCACCGAATTCTGCACTTCTTCGAGTTGTTCAATAATGTCGGCAGGGCCAAAGTAAGCTCTTCGATTTCTTCATCGTATCTCATTCAGTTTTATTGCATTAGTGCCCTGTGGTTGAATTGTAAATAATTAGATCATATTTTCCTAAGCTGCAAAAAATATTTATTTATTTCTACAGGTATGAGTACAGATGGGCAGATGGAATCACAATAAGAAAGCCCATAGAGGTATCAGCTCCTAAATACGTCGAATATTTAATGGACTGGATCGAATCTCAGCTCGACGACGAGTCCATTTTCCCCCAAAAATTAGGTATACAGTAGAATCTCAATAAATTAATACTCGATAAATTCATAACCTCGCTTAAATAATAGTTTTTTCTGGTCCCGACTCGGTAAAAACATATTAAATTATTAGTTCGATAATTTAATAATTCGCTAAATTAATAGAATTTTGCTAGTCCCGACTCTATTAATTTATAGAGGTTAACTGTATACGTCAGTAGTGGCCTAGCTCAGATTTTTTCACGACTTTGTTTTATTATTATTTATTTTTTTGACTCCTCGTTTATTTGCTGCAGGCATGGCGTTCCCACCGAACTTTCTGGATGTGGTGAAGACCATATTGAAGCGGCTGTTTCGTGTGTACGCGCATATATACCACTCGCATTTCCAGAAGATTGTGAGCCTAAAAGAAGAAGCCCATCTCAACACTTGCTTCAAGCATTTTGTTCTGTTTGCATGGGTAAATAAGCTAATTAATAGTAATCAGCCCCGCGCTTAATTAAGCTCGGCTTAATCTCTGTCTGATGTAGTTATATAAAATGCAGGAGTTTTGCTTAATCGACAAGGAAGAGCTCGCGCCTCTTTATGAGATCGTTGAGTCTATTATACAATGCTAGAATTTTTTGTTTTTCTTTTTGTTGTTGTTTTCGTTCTTCGATTTTTGAAGGTCATACGGTATGGTAGTAGCGTAGTCGGAACTGGAAACACAACTCTTATCATTGATCCATTGTTGATACGTGTGCGGTGGTGATTTTATATTTTTCTAGTACAATCGAACGGATGATGAAATATAGAATGCCGACTTGCCAAATTTGCCTGGTTAAATTTGCAAAACAAATTAAGAACCGAAACCGAAACTGAAAACCGGAACCGAAACTGAGGAATCAATTTTTTTATTTTTTATTTTGTTATAATAACAAGGAATTAATTAATGATCTGCATATTAAGTAATACATAATACACCAAATTTCTTTTTCTTATATAATACAGCTGATGCCTATGTTGATGGGCCTGTAAGAAAAGGCTATTTTCAGCAGAGGCCCAAGTTGATATTTGGCGGGAAACACGAAGCGACCATTCCTAAAAGGCGTGTCGAGTAAGCTTCTTTCCTTATTTGACCACCACAACCGGCCCTTCGCACACGCGCGCGTAAACACACAAACACACACGCACGCACTCTTTAACACAGACAGTCGGACTTTTCCTCTTCCCGCCGCTAGAGCCGCCGCCGCCGCCGTCGCCGTCACCGTCACCGTAACCGCCTTGGTAACTTGTTTAGTAGTTCCGTTCATTTCTATGCCCCTCTTATATCACTATGCTATATGGGTAGAAGAACCGCATCCATGCCTATTAAGTGTTTGTAAAATTGTCTCGTGTCGGTTGTTGAAATAATTAACGTTTTTTTTTTCCGCCTGCTGTATTGTTAATCGACTTTAATATCTTGTTGCAGTATAGGTTGGGTTATAATGACAGTAACGAGGTCCCGTGGGAGAAGCGTGGCTGCTAAAACCTCAAAGCCATTAGATTCAGAAATTGTGGTCGTTGAACCGGCGACGCCAGCTAAGAACTTTGAATTGTTGAATCAATCGTCGAACAGCGCTAATTCTAGCCTTAGTTCAAGTTCCTCGGTCCAAAAGTGTGGGCATCCTGAATTAGGGTTAGATTTCATTGGTAATATGGTTTCCGAGAGTGGGACCGCGCCGAGACGAAGTGTGCGTTTGGCTAAGAAAGTGGCTGCAAGTGACTGCTTGGAAAATGTCGATTCTGTAAGTGGGAAAAGGAAGAAAGTTGTAGGGAGTTCTGTTAATGGTGAATTTGGTGTGAGGGGTTTAGAAACACGGGATTTGGATCTTGAATTGGGGGTTGACATGGTAACAGACAAAGAGGAATTCGAGAATGGCGAAAGTCTTGCCAAAGTGGAATCAAGTGATGATATGGAAACTCCTTTGTTGGAGGCTGTGAACAATGGGAGACGTAAAAGGAAACTTTGCAGTACGGTGAAGTCGTTGGGTTATGAGTCAGGTGAAAGAACGGAGGTCGAGAGTGTGTTCTTGAGCTTGCGTTCAGGGAAGAAAGTTGTGAAGAGAGAAATGGAAAATCGTAATGGCTGTGCTGGTAAATCCGTGGAAGGAACTGATAATAGCAAAGAAAGTGATATACCTCAGAGTGGCTGTGTTCCTGAGGAGATTAAGTGCACAAAGTCGGTGGCAAGCATTGAAAAAAATGAAAATGACAGTCCGAAAGGGAGGAGATATAGTGGAGCAGAGAAAGGTAAAGGTAAAGTTGGTTCTGTGATTAATGGTTCTGTTTGTGTGGATTTAAAACTAGACGGGGTAGTAGGACTATCGCCTGGTGGTGCACATTGTGATCCTGTCAAATTACCAAAAAGTCCGGATTCAGAAGAGGTAGTTGAAGACAAAGGTAGCATCAGGATAGACACTGGTGTGAAGACTAGAGGGAGACTGAGCAAAGAAGAGAAAGGGAAACTGAAAATAGAAATCAAGGCTGCTTCTTCTAGCGGCACTAATACATCAGAACTTATTATACAAAATGTAAGTGACAGTAGTGTCTCAGCTACTCTCCACGCAGCAGCCAATGAATCATTGCCAGGTGGAAGTCAGGTGAGAGAGGCTGATGTGAATGGGAACGATGCTGGAAGAGTTCACAGGGAACGGTTTCGAAATTTCGCGAGGCGAAATGCATCACGTTTTGCCCATTTCTCTCCCCACGAGGAATTTGGGAACAATGCTCCTGTTGGTGGAATACAAATTCCAGTGCCCGAAGCAGATAATGGATTAGAAGACTGGCCTGGTCCCTTTTCCACTGCCATAAAAATTATTAATGATGGAAAGCGACGAGGTGCTTCTACTGACAAAAGTGGGGCTGTTGAACTAAAGTGGATTCCTAAAATGCAGGAGTTACGCAAGAGTCAGAAGCATGTTCCGTCACTGCAAGAGTTGTGCCTGTCGATTCTTGCCAAAAATGCTGATGCAATTACTTCTCTTGACTTTGTGCCGGATGTGCTGAGACACAAGATCTGTTGGTTTCTTTGTGACAATCGGAAAATGGATAGTCATTTTCTTGAATTGCTTGTACATGGTTCTCCAACAGAGATCCGTGTAAGGGATTGTTCATGGTTATCTGAGGAGCTATTCACCAAGACATTTGAAGGTTGCAATGCCAGCAAACTGACGGTGCGATTCTTTTTTCGACCAAATTTTCATATTTCATAAACTGATTATGTATTCTGTTTCGGTGTTATTTAAAACAATGCACTAATTTGATATAGTTAAGACATCAATTCATCTAAGTTCTATTCTATATTCTTGGAATGGTTAATTTTTCTCCTTTTTTGTCTCTGGAAGGATCTGATGTTATTTTTCTTTGAAATTAGGTGTTCCAATTTGATCAAGGTGGAGCCTGTTTGCCAGACTATACTTTATATGCCACCCTGGCTCGTTCAACAAATAGCCTTCCAGCTTTGACTACGGTATCTTTGAAGGGTGCATATCGTCTTTCAGATGCTGGACTAAATACGCTTGTTTCAGCTGCACATTCTCTCAAATCTATTGATATTAGTCAGTGCCCGATGCTTACCTCTGATGGAATTTGTTCGCTGGCAAACTCACTGCAATTGGTTTTAAGGGAACTATACATAGACAATTGCCATGGAATAGATGCTATGAGTATTCTACCAGCATTGCTAAAGCTAGAGAACTTGGAAGTTTTATCACTGGCTGGAATTCAGACGGTTTGCGATGATTTTGTCAGTAAATTCGTCTCTATACATGGTTGCAGAATGAAGGAGCTTGTCTTAGCAGATTGCATGTGAGTGTCTGGTTGATCATATATATATATATATATATATATATATATATATATATATATATATATATATATATATATATATATATATATATATATATATATATATATATATATATATATATATATATATATATATATCTGCTATTCAGACTTGTTTTCTAACAATTAACTTATGACTTGACCTATTTGCAGTGAGTTGACTGATTCATCTATTAAAGTCATTGGTGATACCTGCTCCAAATTACGAGCAATAGACCTGTCGAATTTGTGCAAATTGACGGACATTTCCATAGGTCACCTTGCAAATGGTTGCCGAGCAATTCAGATGCTAAAATTTTGTCGCAATGCATTTAGGTATCCATTTATTAAATCAGTTTTCACTTCTACTTCATTGACTTTCAATGTTAAGTGGGATATGCATAGTTTTTGTTTTTGTCCGGGTACACATGCTAAGATTTTTCTCTGAATGTAGTGCAGCTGTATAACTTAGCCCTGTTTAGGAAAAATAAGACTTCGTTATTGCATTGCTTTAACAATAATCCTTCTGAACTTGAAAACTATCCTGCCACTGAGAAAATAGATATGGCAGAAATAAGGAAAATTGATGCAGTAGGAAAGAAAAAGCATGCACTAGAGGAATCTGTTATTTAAAGTCTGCTTCATTGGGTTTTCGGTATACCGTAAGTCGGTCTTTTGTTTGTTGATCTGATCCTATAGAAATAACTGGAGCATGATACTTGTACCTTTAGAATTGTAAATTGGCAGTTGAGATTCCCTCTTTAATGTTTCCACAGTGACGAAGCTATTGCTGCATACCTTGATGTTCGTGGAGCATTACTGAATGATCTGTCGCTCAATAACGTTATCCAGGTAACATTGTTAAATAAATTTTATGTCCAAGTGTAACTCATCAGAAACATAGTTATCATTTAAATAATATTTTTTAATGAATCCGCAGAATTAGCATGCCATTAACAGCGAAATCCTATTAATCATCATACTGTTTACACACAAAATATACTCCGAGAGTGAGGCTGATGTTCAATCTCCTCGATGCAGGTCTCAAATCATACTGCTCTTTCGCTTGCCAGAAATTGCAGAAATTTACGGAGTTTGGATTTATCTTGGTGTCGCAATTTAACCAATGAAGCACTGGGATTGGTAGTCGATTCATGTTCATCACTGGAAGTGCTCAAATTGTTTGGCTGTACACAGGTATATTATTTGCTGATCTTGTGAACTCCTAATAATCGTCAATTATGAATTGTTGTTATTTTTAGAAACGGGGCAAGTACTGAAATGCCGATGTTTGTTTTGCAGGTCACGAATGTATTTCTTGATGGACATTCAAATTCAGAGGTAAAACTTATTGGATTGAAGATGACTCCAGTATTTAAACACATTGATGTGCCGGACTTCCTTTTAGGGCCACTTCGGTACTCGTCCATCTCAGTTTGACATCCGCGCAATCTTGGTGGTTTTGTTCTAAATCGGTAAAACCCGAGCATTACTTTTACGCATGTCGTGTTTTTGTGATGCTTTATCTGTTCAATGTTTTTGACTGAAAACAGATGAGTTGTGTCACTAACTATTTTTTGTCTGATGACAGTGACCTTTTTTACTCTCGGTCAATCAATTAATGAAAAAACTTTCCTGTAATAGTAATGTTTATTCAGATTAAATCATGAAGTTCACAAATCATTATAGTGCACAACATGAAGAAAAGATTAAAAACCAAACACACACACACAAAATTAATTAAATTAACACCCCCAATGCCACCTCTGATCAGTAGAATGGACGATTACTTTGTTTACGAAAAATTCCAGGGCCAAATGTGGAAGAAATCAAGTCGGCGAGAAGTGGGAACTGCAAGAACACAAATGACGTAACCGGCAAGCAGGCCAGCGCCGCCACTGGAATGAGCACCCACGCATTCTTCCGGCCAAACACTAAATACAGTGTCGCACTAAAAGCCACCATCATAAACGTTATTGAAAGAAAAAGTGTTCCAAGGCCGATAATTAATCTCTTCGGCAAATTACTCAGAAAATCTTCTTCTGCATAGCGTGATGTCAAGATAGACAAGAACATCAACAGAGAAGTAGTGGATGCGAAGAGTGAGATAGCATCGGAAATAGCAAACACGAGGAACACTTTTTCCCTGGCGAAAACAGGGAAGCCAGTGTCGCTTTCATTGCCACCTGGCACTGTAATAGCCGCTGCGAACATTATTGTGACAATCAATGCCGCTGCAATGGTGCACGATTCTGAGGTGTCTTTTATCCATTTCTCTCCTTCCTCTTTCAATTTCTTGTGCTCCTCCGTGAAAACCATATTAGGAGATTTTCCTTGCTTGTTCTCTCGTTTTCTCGAACTAGGGTTCATAGTTTTCTCGACTTGCTGCATGTGAAATATATCCATGTCTATAAAATTTGCATACCAACTTTTTTCATGTACTATATAACATGGTACATAAAGTTAAATAGATGTATATACGATGAAGAACGATAGGTTAATTACCTTGTACCATTGCATTTCCCGCTGCATTTGGAGAGCTGCGCCAGAAATCTCGTTGAGTTTGTGAGATGGTGCGAGTTTTCCAGCGGCGTGCAACAGGTTGTTTCCATCATCGTCTTCGATGTCTAAGTGTACGTATTTATGATCACTCATTTGTTGTATGAGATTAAAGACACTCTCAGAGCGGCTTAGAACTGCCACGTGGAATATGGGCTGTCTGGAAAGCGGTACCACAGCATAGATAACATTCGGGAATGCCTCTACGATCATTTCTACAACTTCGTAGTTCCCTGAATTTGTTGCAGCGAAGATAGAGCTTGTAGCCATGTCTAGAGCCTCCAGAAAACTCTCGGATTCCATTAATTTCTTGCACAAGCATTTCACGAGACTCGTTGCTTGTTGATTCATCATCATACTCTTTTCCATGGTGCTAGTTACTCCAGGCCCTGCAATTATAATTTCATGCAACATCATTGAATATATATATATATATATATATATATGAAAATGGTCCGTAATTTTGATATATCAATTTTAAATGATACATTTCAATAACAACTTAAACTTTTGGTTGAAGTGGTTATTCAACATGGTATCAAAGTCAAACCAATTTCAACCTGTCATATTTAGCATTTTTTACGTGTGCATACCTTTCTTTTTATTCTTAGTAGATTCCTAGGTATTTTTTAGCATTTATATAATTATAAATTTCTTAAAGAGACTTTGTTAAAGAAGAACCTCATATCGATCACATATATATATAGACTAGAGATGTAGAGTGAGAGAGCTCACTGAAGAGAATATTCACGAGATGCTCCCGGAATCTGAAGCGCCGTCCATCATCGCCGCCATCCGAGAAAGCTGATTTGTTTCCAGCTATAGTCCACAAAGCACACCGACCATCCGGAAACGCTAGTGTGGCCAAATACGGGTACTTATTGACCAAATCCAACGCCACATCTGTTCATTCATTCATTAATTTGGTGTTAATCGCAACTTCGCTCTGATACCAATTGATGCGATCTCTCGAGTATCATAAGATTTCTTTACGAAACGTAAGAAAACTCTTCTTTTTTATTTCTCTTCATTATAAAACCCTAGCACAAGACGACTATTTAAAGAGAATAAAACCCTAGAATCCTAATATCACTAGGAAAGATAATTACCTATACTAATAAAATACTTAATATATATCCTAAATACTAAACTCACGGCTATCTATATAAACCTAAACAAACTATTCTAATTAATTAATAATAAAAATACTAACTAACGAATAAATATACGATATATTAAATATATATCGTATCAAACCACCCCTCTTGAAATGAACCTTGTCCTCAAGGTTCGAGTCAATTTGGTCCCTCTCTTTTGCGTTTCCACCTATGTTTGACTTCATCGACTTGCTTCCCGATTAACTCCGATTCCGAAAAACACGATGAACGACCAAGCTTATTAACACATTGTTCATGCTGATCCAACAAAATTCCAAAGGCTACTTTTGCAAAAAATCTCAATCTTCTCAATCTCTCTCCCGATAAATCAATCTTCTCAATTGTCTTTTCAAATTTCATCTCCTTCACAATCAATATCATTCTTTTATTTTTCTCGATCGTCTTTACAGATCCGGGCTCATTCACAGTCACCAAATCTTGATCGTCTCCTTTCTTTTGAATATCGTGGGACTCTTCTACTATCCACTGTAGTTCTTCGTTCTCTTCCTTAGTTAATTCCTCACCTTCGTCCCAAATTACCTCAAGTGAATTCGATAATTCATCTTTCGGCGAACTCACAAAAAATTGGGGTTCTTCGAAAAAGTCATCGTCGTCCTCCTCTTCTCCCTTCGGCGATAGGCTCGGCAGCGGCGGCGGCGGTGGCTCTTTGAAAAATTCATCGTCATCCTCTTCCTCTTCCTCTGGCAATAGGCTCGACAGCGGCAGCGGTGGCGTTGGCGGTGACGGGCGGCGGTCCGTTCGGCTTTTGTGATGGCGTTGACGTCGTCCTTGACTTTGTTCGAGTAATTTCTGAAAATCGATCCGTAATTTCTCTACGGATTTTTCCAATCGCTCCAACCGTCTTGTTTCTGACATCATGATTTCACAAAGTTTTGATGTGATCTCAACTTTGCTCCAGCGTAGCTTTGATATAATCGCTGCCTTGCTAACGAAGCGTTGGTGTTAATCGCAACTTCGCTCTGATACCAATTGATGCGATCTCTCGAGTATCATAAGATTTCTTTACGAAACGTAAGAAAACTCTTCTTTTTTATTTCTCTTCATTATAAAACCCTAGCACAAGACGACTATTTAAAGAGAATAAAACCCTAGAATCCTAATATCACTAGGAAAGATAATTACCTATACTAATAAAATACTTAATATATATCCTAAATACTAAACTCACGGCTATCTATATAAACCTAAACAAACTATTCTAATTAATTAATAATAAAAATACTAACTAACGAATAAATATACGATATATTAAATATATATCGTATCAAACCACCCCTCTTGAAATGAACCTTGTCCTCAAGGTTCGAGTCAATTTGGTCCCTCTCTTTTGCGTTTCCACCTATGTTTGACTTCATCGACTTGCTTCCCGATTAACTCCGATTCCGAAAAACACGATGAACGACCAAGCTTATTAACACATTGTTCATGCTGATCCAACAAAATTCCAAAGGCTACTTTTGCAAAAAATCTCAATCTTCTCAATCTCTCTCCCGATAAATCAATCTTCTCAATTGTCTTTTCAAATTTCATCTCCTTCACAATCAATATCATTCTTTTATTTTTCTCGATCGTCTTTACAGATCCGGGCTCATTCACAGTCACCAAATCTTGATCGTCTCCTTTCTTTTGAATATCGTGGGACTCTTCTACTATCCACTGTAGTTCTTCGTTCTCTTCCTTAGTTAATTCCTCACCTTCGTCCCAAATTACCTCAAGTGAATTCGATAATTCATCTTTCGGCGAACTCACAAAAAATTGGGGTTCTTCGAAAAAGTCATCGTCGTCCTCCTCCTCTCCCTTCGGCGATAGGCTCGGCAGCGGCGGCGGCGGTGGCTCTTTGAAAAATTCATCGTCATCCTCTTCCTCTTCCTCTGGCAATAGGCTCGACAGCGGCAGCGGTGGCGTTGGCGGTGACGGGCGGCGGTCCGTTCGGCTTTTGTGATGGCGTTGACGTCGTCCTTGACTTTGTTCGAGTAATTTCTGAAAATCGATCCGTAATTTCTCTACGGATTTTTCCAATCGCTCCAACCGTCTTGTTTCTGACATCATGATTTCACAAAGTTTTGATGTGATCTCAACTTTGCTCCAGCGTAGCTTTGATATAATCGCTGCCTTGCTAACGAAGCGTTGGTGTTAATCGCAACTTCGCTCTGATACCAATTGATGCGATCTCTCGAGTATCATAAGATTTCTTTACGAAACGTAAGAAAACTCTTCTTTTTTATTTCTCTTCATTATAAAACCCTAGCACAAGACGACTATTTAAAGAGAATAAAACCCTAGAATCCTAATATCACTAGGAAAGATAATTACCTATACTAATAAAATACTTAATATATATCCTAAATACTAAACTCACGGCTATCTATATAAACCTAAACAAACTATTCTAATTAATTAATAATAAAAATACTAACTAATGAATAAATATACGATATATTAAATATATATCGTATCAGATTAGTACATATGCATGTGTACGTTAGAAGCGCGAAAATTCAGCCTGAATAAGGTATACAAGTAGTCTGAGTCCATCATAGCAATCATAAGGCGTTTGCTCCTTGGTCGCCTGAAGAAGGTAGAGAAGCGTTCTTTTGTGGCTAAAAAGCGCCGCTGTATGCACTGGAAAATCGTTGCGGATATTATTTGGACTGTACAGCTGACGGGGCATCCTGTTGACTAGAATAATTGCTGCTTCCGTGTTGTCTACATGCGCGGCGGTGTGCAGTGCGGTATGGCCACCTTTAATCGTCCGTGCCATCATCAGTTCCTCGCAGTTATCGGCATCCATCATTATTAATTCAACCATGTTTCGCACAAAGTGAATCGCCTTCTTCCCTGTCCCAACCGCCACGTGGAGAAGTGTCAGCCCTACGCTGTTGATGGCCGCAGATTTGGCTTGCGGGTCCCGGTCGAAGATTCGTTTCGCCGTCTCCCAGTCTCCCTCTAATGCCGCCTTGTGCAGTGGAATGTATCTCATCATGGGATCCTCATTGATTTCGTCGCGGGAATCTGAAACGTGAATAACATTCGGTTGAGGTTGTTGAGAAAACGGGTTTTCCATCAATTGCGCATTGGACGAAGAAGCCATAATTTTTTTTTTTTTTTTTTTTTGGGATGGATGAAAAGCATGCAGTGATTAATCTTGAAATTAAAAGGGCATATGCCACAAGAATTTATAGAGGGGTGATTTGTGTTTTGTGTGATGTATGTTTCTATTTTAGTCTATAGAGAGAATGAAGTGACAATCAGGTAAGGTAGAAATAGAGTTATATTAATTATGTAATATATACTTTTGGTGTCACTTTACTCATCATATATATCATCTCTCTATTAATTATTCTTTCACACATGCACGTACATAAATTAATTTTATATCATTCCGAAAGTTAAAAAGGTTTATGCATTTATGTTATATTATTATTTATGTTACTGATCATAGATCAATTATTATTTTTATAAAAAAGAATACATACATACACTGTAGAAAATAATATTTTTATCTTGAATATTAGGTCAAGGAATTTTCATTTGTATTTTCTAGGTCAAGAGTTACAGTCACGTGGGAAAGAACATGGAGGAGAATATAATGAAGTGATAATCAGGTAAGGTAGCAAAAAAGAAAAGGAAATCCTGGACATTTGGGGTTTGGATTGGAGCAAGTGAGCAACTATATTCACCATGTAAAACGTGTTCTATGTGTGTGTGTGCGCGCGCGCGGGTATGCGTGTGTAATTTCCATCAAAAATTTCGGATCGAAATCGGCAGAAATAATTTTTTTTATTCCAGTTTCAGCTCCGACAACAGCTTCGTATGGGGATTTCATTGAAGAGTGGCGTGTTCATAACTACATACATCTATCTTCTTCACACATGCCACTATTCATTGATGATTTAATCTTTTAGGGCAAATTACGGCCACTCCGAGTTATGCTCAAATTACGAAAAAACCCTCTTATATTTTAATTACAACTACCCATCAAATTTGGGGCAATTTTTTTTTTGGTGTTGTTTTTTATTGTAGTTTTTAAAATGGGGTTGTTTTGGGAGGTGTAACCGAATTGGGGTTGGACGCCACCCACCACGGCGGCATCGGCAGGAGACGCCAGCTCCAACGGCGTCTCCGTAGAAGACGCCACCGGTGGTGGCGTCTTCTCTTTAAATATTAATATTTTAATATTTTAATAATATAATATTATAATATTTTAATACTTTAATATTTTAAATATTTATATTAATATTTTAATATTTTCTGATTTTTAATTTTTTTTACAAAATAAAACATTAATATTAGTATTAAATTTATTACATTTTATATATTTTATCCATTAGTTTTAAATTATCATTGCATATATTTATTTAATCAACACAATAAAATAGTGTACAATCTTGTCCGTTTTTGCATTTTGGTTTTTCAATAAATTAATATTTTTTTTATAAAATTCAATAGAATGTACTAACAAGAAGGGAAGAAATCGTACCGCAAAATTTGACCAATTAATAGTGGCAGTTTGAAGTATGAAATTATATTTTCTGGTGTAACTCTAATGATCATATTTTGGATTGATTTATTATAATTTGATTAAATTTTAGAAATATGTACCTATTTTGTGTTAATTTCTTCAAAAACCCTAATAAATTAAAAAAAATCAAGAGTGTTGTTTATTGATGTTTGTAAAATATGTATATTGGTTTTTTGAGTAATTTGAAAAAAAAAATATAAAATAACAAGCAAATGTATATAATATATATATATATATATATATATATATATATATATATATATATATATATATATATATATATATATATATATATATATATATATATATATATATATATATATATATATATATATATATATATATATATATATATATATATATATATATATATATATATATATATATATATATATATATATATATATACATATATATATATATACATATATATATATTTACAACTTTATTTTTAAAAATATATATATATATCTA